GGGTGAGGAGACAGGCTGTGCTGATATACCCATCAGAGCACACGCACTCTCTCCCAGCACACTCAGCTTCTGGGTAAGCTAGCCTCCTCCATGGAAGCTACTCTTTGTTAACAGTGTTGTCATGGCAACTGGATCTAGGGAGAAGCTCTCTTCAAGGTAGAGTCTGAGGGTGACACTTGGAAAAACTGAAGTGGTGGTGATAACAAGCAGGGTGCTAGCCTCCCAGCCCTGCCCCCCAATACTCCTTCCTGGATTGGTCCAGTCACCAAATTTGTCCCAAAAACTCATCTGACCAACAGCTCTTGGTCTGCCCCCCTTCTCCTCTCCTTGAAGCAGGSGGGGGGGGGCTAACATCAATGTGGCTCAAGACAGGAAGTCTGCCCCACTGCACAAAGCAGCTCAGAGACTTCTGCATACATCCCAAACACAGCTACCATCTCAAATGTGGGGTCTGTCTGAGACCTGAAGTAGACAGGTCCCCAGAGAATCACAGACAAGTAAACCCAGGGCAGCACCCAGAGGCCTCTGAGGATGATCTCCCTGCACATCACACCTGACAGGAAGCCTCTGAAAAACACTGGAAATCAACTGTGGGGAGGAGACCCAGCAGGGGCCAAGACAGAGTCCTGTGTCATGAAGGAGATGGCATGAGAAGAAAGCCATGGCAACTGTCCAGGCCAGAATGGAGGTGACAGTGAGCAGGGCAAGGTGGAGGAGGGGGCAGAAGAGAGGTCTAGGAAGCCAGACCTGGTGGAACACACTTCTAATCCCAGCAGCTTGGGAGACTGAAACAGGAGGATCCTAAGTTCAAAGCAGCCACAGCAACTTAGCAAGGTCCTAGGCAACTTAGAGAGATTCTGTCTCTAAAAGAAAATATTTAAAAGGGCTAGAGATGTGGCTCAGTGGTTAAGGGCCCCTGGGTTCAATCCCTGGTACCAAAAGAAAAACGAAGAGAGGTCCAGGGCAGGGCCAGACTGGCTAATGACTCAATACAAGGGTGACCCGACAGAAGGGACAAGGGATACTGTGGCTGCCTACCTGCTCAGATAGAGATCCTGAGGCTGGCAACGCTCAAGGGCATGACGATACCCATGGTCACTTGGGAGGCATCCAGGAGGCACAGCACACAGGCTAAAGAAGCCCCCAAATCCAGGCTTAGGCTGAAAGGAGTTGGGCATGGAGAAGAACAGAAGCTGTGTTTAGGGAGAGGGTATGGCCCCAGATCCTGTGTCCCAGAACAGGAGGAAGAGCCATGAGGGGGGCTATGGGAAGTCCAGAGAACAAGGAGGAGAACCAGGGGCCAGGTGGCCTATCCTGGAGCAAGGACAGTGAAGTCCATGGCCTCTGAAGATGGTCTTCCTGAACTGAGGAGGAATACCAGATTGGAGTGGGCTGGGAGAGTGGGAAGTGAGGATGTGGAGTGAGCAAGCCGAGAACATGTCTTCAAAGTCAGCACGCGCAGAGGAGGAGGGTGGGAGGAAGCTGAAGGAGACAAGATTTGTTGCTTTTAAGATGGAAGAAGTTTTACAAAAATAACTTCACCTCTGAGGCCAGTCACCTGTCAACTGGGTGGTATCATCCCACTTGTGAGCAGACAGCCCAAGAGCTAGGCAAACAGAATGGAACAACCTAAGTGCCCAACACTATGCCCTGGGGTTGGAGTCAACACCCCAGCTGTACAGAGCTCCTACTCACCCATGGAGTACCTGCTTCAAGCTATTCTGCCCAGCCTCAAGCCTCCCCTCCTCAAGCTAGCACTGATCTCTGTTCCCTAAACTCATTAAAAAAAAAAAAAAAACACAGACAGCTCATGAAGCCTCAGAGCCCCCAGGCAACACTGGGCAAAGCCTGGCTCTGGCCCAGGGTTGTGCTCACATCCCAGTACAGACCAAGGGGACCTGAGAAGTTTCTGTGTCAAGTGAATGAGGTGGAGAAAGGCTGCTAGGGAAGGACCACAGCGGTTTGCTGAAGTGACGGTTAAAGGCACCCAGGTGGTTCTTAGATGCCTTTGCAGACAGAACATCCAGACCCCTAAGGATATATGACTGTATCAGAGTAGCATCCCTCCTTCTGTCATCCTCAGGCAAGGGAGGCCACCAGCAGCATTCACACCCCCTGCCACCCTCATGTGGTAGGTATCACAATGAAGCCCCTCTCAGTCCTCTCTTTATAGTGTCTAAGGCAACTAGAGCCAGCCTGTCCCAGGGCACAAATCCCAGAGGTCCAAACCCCTCTCCAAATCTGAAAGGCCAGGATACCCAGGGTTTTAGGACTTTCCATCACATGGCTCTCATCTCACCATGCCTGCTGACCCTCTCTAACCCTGTTTTGGGGGTTCTCAGATGGGAGCTTCCTGGTGTCCCCAGCCGACAAGCATTCTACAGGGCTTGTAGCAGTCAACCCACTCTGGACCATCCTTTACATCCATTTTCTCACATACCCACAATCACAGGCTCTGTGCCCAGAAAGGAGTAAGGCATATGCCTGAAAAGAGGGCCATGTATCCTCCCAGGACCCTCAAGGGTCAGGAGGCCCTGCTGGTGACCAGTGCATGTCAGAGGCCCTTCTCTCATGGCCACTGCACCAGAAGATTCTGTCTGTGTCTGCTCCCTGCCTCCCTCCTTCCACACATCACATCCTTGCTAGGTAAACACTCATCCATGGGAGGGAGGTGAGCAGGCAAGGGCAAAGAACCAGAGAGGCAGCCTGGAGTGAGTGGGAGTTACCGGAGGCAGATTTTTGCTCAGCATTTGGAAGCTGAGAGAAAAACAGCCAGAGCGGACCAGGGCTGAAGCAGATGGCCTCGGGAGGAAAAGCAGGAGGGAGTCCTGCGCTCTGGGGCAGAAGAGATTTGGGAGGTGGGTCCTGACCCAGGTCTCCTTCCCCTCCCCGGGACTCTGCCCCAAGCAGCAGGGCCCTTCCCCAGAGGTAGGGCCATGCAGACATAACCATCCCACACCAGCACACCCACCTAACTTCCTGAGGCTCAAAGCCCCCTACCCTGCCTCCGCAGTGCACCTACACTTGACCTATTTGATAAATTTGGCTTTTGTGAAATACATGATTCTGGGGCTAAAAAGCCAAAGTAACCTATTCCAATACTTCTCTGGAGGCCATCATTCTACAGGTGGGGAGGCAGGCGTGCTAAGGGGCTCCCAGACCACACCTGCATAACCCACCTTTTACTTGATCTCCCCCAGAGGACCCAGGGGTAGGTAGGTGGGTCTGTTCTTCACCTAGCCAGGTGACACAGCCTGGCCCCTCCCACATGCAGACAAGGCCCATCCATCAGTACCCAACAGAAATGCAGTGGCAAGCATCATGCCTCCTCCTCCTCCTCCTCTGCCTGCAGTTGCTAAGTTACACCAAAAAAAAAAAAAAAAAATCCTCTGCTCTATGTGAACTGTTCCATTTCCACGATTTGCCAGGTGGAAGGAAGCCATCAGGCTGGCAGCTCAAAGATGCCTCCTAGAGAAAAACAAACTCATTGCCTGGCTTTCGGACGGGGCCCCCTGGCACACCTGCATGGGCTCCCAAACCAGGGAGGCCATATTTAAGAGTACACAGCTTCCAAGCTTCACCATGGAGCCTGCTGAATTCTTTTCAGCCCTGCAGCACCCCTGTCTCAGACTGACCACCAACAAGAGGGCTGTTGGAACACTACAATCCATGGTCCTAAGGACAAAAACTAGAGGGACAGAGAACCCATTTATGTGTCCCCAGGCCACCCAATTGAGGTCCCCCATGTCCTCCCACTCAATTTCTTCTTCTGGAGCTGGGGTCCTGAGGTTCCAAAGCAGTGTCACTGGATGTCACTGTGGAAATGCCTTCAGGGGTCATCAGATACATGGTGTCATTCTTCTGGCAGAGAAACAGTTTGGGAGGGGCCTGCAACCCACCATGGTTCCTAAGTCAAAACTGGTCTCCCCACTTTCTAGTGCTTTGCTCAGAACAGCGGCTACTGCAGTGCCCTGGAGGACCCCTGCCTGGGCAAAGAATGGCCCAGACCCAGGACAGGCTTTGCTGGGCAAGAAGGAATCCAGACCCAGGTGGGGGAGTTCAAGGGAAGGGGCAGACCATCACCTTCCTGAAGGTCCTAGACTCCTGGGGCAAGTGGCCATCTGGGTCCTTCACTTTTCCTGATAGCGGAAGAATGACAGTAGCAGGGAGGGTGAACCAAAGAGGGAGGTTCACACCCCTAACAGGAGTAGAGGGAGCCCCGCCACCTCTCAGACCCCCAACCTCCCCATAAATACCACTAGCTCCAGCGCTCTGGGGCAGTTAGAAATGCTGGGTGCAGAAACCTGCCAGCGCCTCTCTCCCCAAACAGGACTACCCCCGCACCGCGTGTGCGCGCGCGCGCACCCACACACACTCTCACACAGACCTTAACCAGCAGCACCTTGCCCCAGTCCCTGATCCCAAGCAAGGCCCAGGGCAAAGAGCGTGGTCCTTCAAACGACCCTGATCCACTGGGGAGAGGGAGCATCTCCTCAGGCCAGGGTTCTCTCCTCTCCAATGCGGTACTCACACCCCAATTCCTCACCAAACAGCGAGTGCGTGAGATGTCACCACGGGGCCCAGAACGCAGAGGAGCAAATGGAAACTTCCAACTGCGCAGCCCCGAGCTCCTTGGATTCCCCGGCCCCCTCCCCCACGCCAGGCCGGGGGCAGCGGACCTGCCAGCGGTGCCGACGCCCGCCTGCCGCGTTCTCCCGCCACGCCCGACCCGGACCTCCCGGTGCCCTGCTGGGGCGGAGGGTGCAGGGGGTCCCGGCGCGGTCCAGCCCGGGGCGGAGTTCTCAGTAACTCCGCGCGCTAGGATAGCGGGCGCCCGACCCAGCGCGCGTCCCCTGACCCACGCTGAGAGCTCGCGCCCCGGCCCCACGACGGCCGCGCCGGGCGGGACCCGGGGCCCGCGCACGCCCCGCCCTGTCCGCGCCGGCCACCGGAGGGGACCCGCCGGAGGGAGGGACGGAGAATCGGCGGCCGCTGCCTACCTCGGTCCGGGCCAGCGTCGCTCCCGCGCCGCCCTCGCGCCGCAGTCGGGCCCCGAGCAGCGCGCGGCCGGCGCCGGCGGCGGCTCATGCTCGGCGCCTGGGCCCGCGGCACCCGCCCACCCGCGGCCGCCCCCGCGCTGCGCCAGCTGCGGGCAGAGCAGCTCCCTCCGCAGCCGGCGCGGGGGAGCGCGAGAGAGCGCGGAGCGAGCACCGAGCGGGCACGGAGCAGGCGGGCACGAGTGCGGGAGGGAGCGGGCAGGCGCGGGGCGAGGAGAGGGAGGGTGCGGGGCGAAGGTGCAGCTGGAGGGAGGGCGCGGGGAAGGGACACCGGTGAGAGAGGGCGGGCCAGGTTTTCACTTGAAAAGGGTAAGGCAACCCCCAAAAGGTATGTGGCCATTTCCTTTAAAAAAAAAAAAAAAAAAAAAAAAAAAAAAAAGACCTTTGGGAACTCCGGGGAGCTGCCAAAATTTTTATCAGTGGCAGTTGACAGTGAAAACGCTTCCGAGGGCAAATCCTGGTCTCTGGAGTTATTTCCCCCTGTTATCATAATCATTCTAAAAAGGTTGGTGTTGGTTTTTGTTCCCATTGGACAGATAAGTAAACTAATGCTGGGGAAATGCACTACCTCCGAGCTGATACGTGGCAGATCAAGAGTCTAAAGTCACCTTGAGAGATTCTATGGCCCCTATATTTACAAAACCACTAAAGACAAGATTCATGTCTTTGGGCTCCTGCTGAAGGGACATCCAGAGTGACTCTTGCACCTAGGCCAGACTCAGGCAAGTGTGGAACAGGTCTAGGACCAAGAAGCCACAAGGTGGAGGGGTCTGTGTGGGAGGTGCAGAAACCCAACAACACCTCCTTGAAGAGGCTGGGAACCCTTCTTATTCATTCAGGACATGTTTTTGGAACGCCTACTGTATGTCAGGTCTCAGTCTGGACACTGGGATACAGGTGTTAAGTGTCACTGTCTGGTTAGAGTTTGCATTCTGGTGGGAAGTAGATAGTAAATTAAAAATACTAGAAAATAATTTATTCGCCTGATGATGCAGATCCCTAGAGGAAAACACAGCAGGGAGGTAGGATAGGGAGTGCAGTTTTGGGGTTGGGGATTTGATTTTTGGTAGTCTTGGAAGTCTGCTGAAAGGTGAGGTTTGAACCAAGACCTCATGAATGAGTCAAGTCATGCTGGATTGAAAAATGAATATTTGAGACAACAAAAACAAATGCAAAGTCTCTGAAGTGAAGTGTGCCTTGGAAGAAGCCACAGTAGAAATGAAAGTGTGGTAGAGAAGAGATTCCAGAATGTTCTAAGGTGGCAGATCAGGTGACCTTGTCAGCCATCAACCCACTGTGGCTTTGAATCAGAGGGAGCTGTGGAGCTAGTGGAGTGTTTTGATGAGAGTTCAGTGGTAGAGTACTTCCTAGTACTTCCTGAGTTCAATCCCCAGCCCTGTAAGTAGTAGTAGCAGTAGTAGCAATAGTGGCCCAGTTTCAACAAATATTACTATATGGCCAATTTTGTTGTATGTATACACCCATCCACCATTCCCCTTATTATCTGTGGGTTCATTTTAAGTGAACTTTTAAGAAATTGTAAGCATAATATACATAGATAAAAATCAAATTTGTGTTTACTGAATTTTCAATAAGAATACACCTGTTCAGTGAGAGTATTAGTAGCATCTGCACCTAGATTTTCACTGTGAGGTTTTTAATGATAAGTTTGTTTTAATAGATTCAGGATTATGCAGTTTATCCACTTCTTCTAGTGTCACTTTTGGTAAATTGAGTTTTTCAAAGATTTTGTTCATTTTGTCTAAACTTTCAGACTTACTTGACAGGCTGTTTACAACATCCTCATATTATCCCTTGAATGTTTGTTAACTCTGTAATGGTATTCTACTTTCATTCTGCTATTGGAGACATTCTTCTTTGATTAGTCTGTCTTTGTTTCTATTTTGAGGGGTTATATATTGTCCATTTCTCCCTTCTTTCCTTTCTTCTTTTTTATTTTTATCTTTTTAAGCACTAGAAGTCAGTTAACCCCAGGTCCTTGAGCATCCTAGGCAAGTGTCCTACCACTAAGCCCCCTTTCTTTATATCTTGGTTGGTTGGTTTGTGGTGTTGCTTGTTTTGTTTTGTGGAGGTACTTGGGATTGTACTTCCCCTGCCCTTCTAATTTTATTTTGAGTCACATTCTTTCTAATTTGCCCAGTCTGGCCTCAAACATGGCATCTTCCTGCATCAGTCTCCAAGCAGTTGGGATTTTAGGTGGCCCTACCATGCCCAGCTCTTTCTTAAATTGGAAGCCAGGTTCATTGGTTTTTAGKTTTTTTTTTCCTACTACACACATTTAGAGCTATAAATTTTCCTTTTAAGCACTGCTTTATGATCTCTCACAATCTTTTTCATTTTCATGTAGCTCAAGATATTTTTTTAAATTTTCATTTTTACTTCTCTTTTGCCCCACAAGTTATTTGGAAGGGTATTGCTTACTGTGCAGATATTAGGGAATATTCTGGGTATCCTCCTGTCATTGAGTTCCAATTTAGTCATACAGCCTATTGAGGGGATTCTGTATTATTTCAATTTTCCAAAATCTGTTTTTACATTTCTTATGGCCCAGAATGTGTTCTATTTTAATAAACACCTGATGTGCCTTTGAAAAGAGTGAATATTTTGTATGCATCAATTAGATCAGGTTAGTTAATCAAGTCCAAACCTTCCATATTATTACTGAATCAAGTCCCATATTCAATCAGTTCCTGAAAGAGATATCTTAAAATCTGTAATATGGCCCCAGTCAGAAACTAACCCAAAAGTCCTTCAATGGGTGAATGGATAAATTATGGTATATCCATACAATGAAATACTACTCAGAAGTAAAAAGAAATGAGCTGATATTAAACACAACCTGAATGGTTCTCAGAGTATTATGTTGAATGGAAAAAAAAAAAACTCAGAAAAATCCATACCGTATGATTCTACTTCTATGTATTTATATGACATTGTAGAAAAGGCAAAACTATAGAGATGAAAATGGATCAATGGTTGCCAGGGAGAGGATTCACTGCAGAATGGGAAAAACTTTAGAAGGATTAAAGTACACCTATATCTTGATTTGTAGGGATGGGCACATGACTATGCTTTGTCAAGACTTAAAATGACTTATATACCAAAAAGAGCCAATTTGTTGTGTGTAAAATCTTGTGTGTATGTGGTTCTAAGGATCAAACCCAGGGCACACAAGCTAGGCAAGCAAGTACTCTACTACTGAGCCACATCCCCAGCCCAAAAATAATTTTAAATCTCCAATATAATTAGAGGCATTTCTGAATATCTTGTCACCTCTTTTGCTCAGATGCTGCCTATGAATTTGGGGTTCTTCCCTCCTTTTTTCCACCTCTATTTTTTTTCAGGGGAATTAGACTGATTCATTGGTGCCAATGAGTATCCCATTGCTTCTTACCATGGTTGGGATATGGCCTGAGTATGTCCCTCCCGGGGTTCAAATGTTGGAAGCTTGGTTTTCAGAGTGGCAATATTGGTAGGTGGTGGAACCTTTAAGACCTTGAACCTAGGAAAAGGTGATTCTGTAATTGGGGATACTTCCCTCACAAAGGATTCCCCCCCACTCTCTGGACTCCTGACTCACTGGGATTTCTTCCTCTTACATGTGCTTCYACCATGTTGACATCTGCCATGATGTAACACAGCCAAGGGGGCCCTCACCAGAGGCTGAACCAGTGGAGCCACTTCCTCTTGACTTTCAGCCTCCAAACTGTAAGATAAATAAACATCTTTTTCTTTTTATACTACCAAGATTCAGGTATTTTGTTATAGTGATGATTAAAAATATTAATGTGTCCCTGCTGCCATGAATAAGAGTCTATAGGGTGTTCTGGATGAAGTAGAGAGAGCAGTTGGCAATAGTCAGATGAGGGATGAAGGTGGCTTAGACCAGGACAGTCATAGTTATGGTGATAAGAAGTGTTTGCAGCTGAATGTTCACTACCTACAGAGCCATGAGTACTTGGAACAGAGAAAAAAAAGGACCCAGAGATGACCTTGGTGTACATCAATTCTTTCACCCAGGCAGGGCACACTAGTCCGGTTCCATGGTAAAACTCTGACATTGACAACTTCAATAGGGGCTTGTAACCAGGTGCTGGCTTGTTGTATTCTCCCCAGACCTCCTCTGATGGGACTTCAGAAGGGTCTTCTGGCCCTGGGTGGGATCCAGGGCAGAGGGGCTAGGGAGCAGTACTGAGGTGCAGCTGCATAGCAGCACACAGGAGTACTGTGAGTTGCTTCATTTGGGATGGCTGTGGGTTAGAGGGACTCCATAGACTACAGGAACTCATAGGTAAGGATCCAGCTGGACATAGCTATAACATTTAGTTTTAAGTGACATTTTGCCCTCCAGGTGACCTTGGCATGCATTCCAAGCCCTGTAGGACAAAATCTTTAAGACAATCAGCCAACCATGTTGTTCTGATCACTGATACCTTAACTATTTCTTAACTGCATTGAATATGTGAGTAGTATTTAAGAAAGGCCAGGTACATTCCAGTTGGCTACATTCCACCTTTGTCTAGCTTAGCATATAAACCCCTTCCTCTTGCCTCAAGGTGTGGGGATCCTCCTGTCTTGCTGCCACATGCATCTGCCCATAAGTTCCCAATAAATTGCACTTTGTGCCTTCCTGAGTCTGTCTCCCTCTTCATTTGCAAGATACCTTCTGCTTCTGTCCACTGGTTCTCTTACATCAGGACTGTTTTTTTCTGAAATGTCCATTTCCTATGTCCATGACACCTCAACCACCTATATGTCTACCCAATGTTACTGTCACACCAGACATTATCCTGCCCCAAATATGCTCCCCTTTCAAGACCTTTAATGTTGACCTCCCATTATGACTATTACACTGGCCCACAGCACTATACTCCACAGCATCTGTGGTTCATGACTTCACATGTCATCATGATCTCTGCTCACGCCAGACACAGTGGTGCACACCTCTAATCTCAGCGGCTTGTGAGCCAGGAGGATCTAGAGTTCAAAGC